TTGATACTGTCAGGGGGTTTACGTAGACGTGCAGGACATAACTCATTACACGTGAGGGGTATCTTAGGGTGTGAGGACTTAATTCTCCCGGAACTGGCTGGGAAGGGGGGCTGTGTCTTGGTATCAGAGAATCTGTCTCCAAACCGGGCTCTGCTAGCGCCGAGGAAATCACACAGCGCGCTGTTCTCTCCCGGGAGTGCGTGGTGGTCCTGTTCTTTCTGCCCACGCTGCTGACCTGCCTTCCCCTCGGTGGGTGAGAAAACAAGGGCCGAGACTGTGCACCTCCCGGAGGCGTGGGGAGAGGACAGGGCTTTCTTGTCCCTTGAGAGCACTTTCTCACCACTTACTCCCTGAATGCAAAACTCATTTATTCAGTTGCATGTCAGTATGTATCTCAAAGTCAGCAGGTCTAAAAGGGAAGTCATCTCTCACGTCCTGTGTGCGACAAGCCACAAACCTGAGTATCTGACGGCTTCTTCACTCTCCTTAGCAATTTATTACCCAGTCCTGCTCAGTTTGTCCTTCATTACCGTCTCTCATACCCGTTCACTTTTTCCCACTCCCTCCACTGCTAACTTTGTGTATAATTTCTTGCTCTGGGTACTTCAGCAGTTTTTAAACTGGTCCCCCTGCCTCCGTTGCCTCTCTCAGCCAGTGCTCATTGATGTCAGAGGGACCTTTCCAGAATGCAGACTGGGCCATGTCATTCTCTGCTTTAAATCCTAAAGTGGTTCTTCCAACTAGAATTTAAAATGAAACAAAATCCTGAAAGGATTCCTTTAAGTGTCTAGAATCTAAAATTCAGACTCACTGGACTGGCCCATGAGGCCACCCGTGCCCTGGGTCCTGCCTGCCCCTCAGCCTCTCTCGTGCCTCACGGTCCAGCCTCAGTGGCCCCTGCAGCTTCTCTGCCACCCTGCGATGGCTCAGGCCTCTTCCCATTGCTCAGAATGCCAGTTACCTCCTTCCCTCTACTCTACCTCCCTGCCCCTGCCCCCCCACCCCACCTTAGCTGACATCGTGTTCATTTATTAAGCTCAAGCATTGCTGCCTTAGGAAATCTGTAATCCCTGTGACCTACTAGGTGCTCCTGTTCTGGGGCAGCAAAGAATATGAACCTTTTTAAATTTTTTTTCTGGTGTGCTTAGATTTAGGTGCACTCTGACCTTGGCAAGGTTTCTGGTCTCCGGTCTGCTTTCTCAGCTGAAAAACGGGAGGAACAGTACCTTACAGGGCCACTGTAAAGGCTAAATGAGATCGCACACGTGAGCCTGGTGCACGGCAGGCTCTCTCCTCCTCAGCACACGCTCATGCTGCATTGCTTTACACTAGTAAGCGTCCCGCTCCATTGTAATTGTTAGTTAACCCATCTGTCTCCCACTTCAGCCAGACTGACAGCACCTTCGGGGTGTCTTTCATGTCTGCCTCCCCCCAAACCTGGGAGAAGGCCCCATGTTCAGGAAGGGGCCCTGTG